ATATAAAATGTATATATGGGGAAATATGTCAAAATGTAACACATATAAAATTATGAATAGAAAAACTTGTCTTGACATTTTCGGGAATTCTCACTCGCCCAAAGCGAGTTTCAATGCATTTAAAAAATTAGAATACATGTCAGAACATGTACCTATAGATATCAAAGTACCTCGCGTGTAGAATTATGGAACTACGTCTTGAAATTCTAAATCTAATAAATCTGTAAATCACCTAAAACGAGTCTTAACGAATTGACTTCAATTAATATTGAAACAGAATTAGATTGGATTAGACATATCACAAATGTGTCTGAAAGAAACCTGAGCAACAAGTTATTAGGTAAAAGACATTAGGCATGAATTTCCCTGTCTTGTTATGTCACATCGCAGCAAGAAAAATGAAAATTATTATTCAATGATCTTTCCCTCGCTTCGCGCTATAAATGGCAAACGCGAATTAATTCGACTTCTGCGATGAGGATGACGATGAAAGTGAAACAGACCGTTGCAAACAGTTACTTCAATTTCCATTGCGGTTTCTACTTTTCAACGCAACGCGCGTAACGTGCATCTACTTTTTCGCACTTCCCGTCCTCGTGTCGCGGCGAGCCGGTTGACGGCGGTCGTCGTTTTAAATGTCATGCCGATTAAAACAGTTACGCGCGTTACTTATGCGGGATGCCTGCGTGCGCCTGTACCTGCGACTTTAAGGCCGAATCGAATCACTTTCTCTTTTCTCCTGAACGCGAGACGCGGCCGATTTTGCGTACCGCCGCGCGCCGTGCCGGTCGCTCGTAACGCGCAGCGCAAACCGGAATAATGCCGCGCGATCCGGAACGTGTTTCGCGTAACGCGTTACACGCGCGCACGGGCGTTGCCGTTCATTGATTCCAGCTATATCCCGATATCGTGCGCGATACCTTTATTTTTATTTCGATAACGATCGCTATTATTATAACGTTGCACTTAGCGTTGCTTGAATCTCGGATGAAATTATCGGTGAAAACTCGGAAAGAGATTTAACGATCGCTATTGGTACGCTTCGTTATTTTTTTCTTTGGAGAAATCAACGAGACACGTATTGCGGATGATTAGCGTGCGATTTCAAGTGCGAGGCGGGTAGTAGTTCATTATCGCGTTTCCTCCGAGAAACTCACGTCGAGAGTCTCGATACGGGAATACAAAACGTTAACGTGCGACTTGGCAATCATGGTTCGTCGTAACATTCCTTTTTCCGTACGTATTACGATCGTCGAGTATTGTATGATTCTCGGAAGAGCGACATATCTTTAATTAAATCAGGAAATAACAAATTATTTTTATTTAAAAAACCGGATATTAAATATTTTAGATTTTGCGGGCCAAGAAACAAAATCAATGCTATTTAGGTTTAATAAGAGAAAAACAAATTTCCACGAATTTTTTTACTGACAAAATTTAAAATTAATAATAATTATGCGAGCACGGTTATTTGTTGCGTTCAAAAATAAATGTGCTCGCTGGCCGTGGTTTGCTTCACAAATCACAAAATCTTGAATGATAATAGAAATGTGCCAACATCTATTATTAATTGCCGATTTACTTCGAGACAGTTGAACACAGATACACGGAAATATTGTATAATCTAAGGAATCCTCCTTTCTAGTTCTTGGCGTGCGCCGTCACGCTCTGCGCGGCGCAGATCCAGGATGGACCAAGGGGTGCACCGATCCCATTACGATCGACTCGCTATCAGAGATTACCCTCTCGACCAGGCGGTACCGGACCGGCGTTCCCCAATCAACGTTTTCGCCGACCGATCTCTTTCAAGTAATAATTCACTAATCATATATACTTAAGGATCACTAATTATATACTTAGGGATGGTTAATTATGTAGAGTTCGGGAAAGTTTAATAGATTAGATTTTCACACACACACACATAAGTTTCCTTTAATAAATTAATTTTAACAAATTTCGTTTCTTACATTTATCTAATCTTAAATAGGTACATACACCATTCGTGACATATATGAGTCAATCGATCCCCCTCAAATAATATCTCGATCATTAAGTGTCATTAATCATACCGAATGCAGGATGATTAATTGCGTAGAGCTCGGGAGAATTTAATAAATAAGCTTTTCAGGTCTAATATGCTCTAATAAATTAATTTTGGCAAAGTTTTTTTTCTTAAATTCATTTAAAAAAATATATATGAACACCTCTATGACATAGTTCGTGAAATTCCTGAAGATTTTTTCGATGATTTATTCAATTGGAATACGACCTTGTTGGAAAATATTAATGCGAGGAGTATAAATAAATCGCGTTCTAAAAGTGTCCGCATGCATGATCTGACTACGCGAGTAAACTATTCGAACTATTGGAAAGGCGGGAAAACCTGTTTGGGCGACGCGCATATCTGCATATTCGAGAGATGCAGAATAAAGCCTATACATAATGTACACTGTTGTTAATTAGTCTAACGCCCCCCCCCCCCTCCTCAAGTTTCGTACAACATCCGCGGGTGCGTTGCACCAGGTAGCAAGCGCGAAATTACCGTATTTGAGAATACCCGGATTACGCAATTCTGACGAACGTATGAATCTATCGTTTCTGAGCAGGCTTGCAAATTGAAACAAGAAAGTCCAAATACCGTTCCACGCGAGCGGCTCAGTAAATATGTAAATAATATGTCTAGCGTTGTAAATGGTATAAGGAGTAAAATAGTCTTGGCATTTTCATGTATTCCACTTTCTGTGCATTTTCCATATAAAAAGTAAATCACCACACGTATCATTTAAAAGTATGATTGGTATAATCTGCGATCTGAAAATGATGAATATTTCCGCGAACTGCACGTAAGCCTCCCTCTGTCGCGCGCAAGCGCACATAATCGCTAATTGAAGAAACCGCTAATGTTAGTTGTTTTACTTAAAAAAATAAAAAAACCTACTAAAATTTCAGACCTCGGGGAGGTCCAGGAGACGACGGGCCCGGGACGTTCCGTCCTCTTCGGCCGAACTTGCCGTTAGCCACGCCTTCGTTGGCGCATCATGTGAAGCCGGTGAACGAGGAGCCCGAGGAAGAGGAGATCGACTCCACGCGCGAGGACGAGGACTCGCGTGATCAGAGCCAGGAGATCAGGAGCCAGGACAGCGAGGAGGATCTGAGCGAGGAGGTGCCGCGCACGGTGCCGCATCCACCGCCGCGGACACCCCCGCCGGCCGCGGCGCCGCTGGCGTACCGTCCACCCCAAGTGACGCCGAGCGTCCGGTTGATTCCCACGACACCCCCGCCGCCGCCGCCCGTGCAGTTCCGCCCAACGCCGCCGCCGGTCATCCAGTATCGCTCGACGCAGAAGCCCACGAAGGCCCCGAGGAAGCACATCATCGACGACATCACGTATCAGCAGCCGATCAAGCCGCCGCCCAAGGCGGTGAAGCCGTCCCAGGCTTACGAAATCCGCGGCAAGAAGCCGGTGGCGCAGGTAGGCCGCCCGCCACACCAAATATCACCCCCCTCCCCCTTCTCCTGTGACCGCGAATAAATTCCTACGTTACCTCGTTTCGATTAAAATATAAGCTCCCTTATCCCGTAATTAATTTAATAATATTATACGAATGGAAGATAATATGAATATCGCGAGTTACGCGATCGAGGCCGACATAATCCGAGACTATACGAAAAAATTGAGTTTTGAAATCGTAAGGTGAAAGCCGGAATCATCTGGCCGTCGTGCTCCTTTTTTTTTTGTTCCGAGATAACGTCGCATAACTCATAAACGCGGTCAGACGAAACCTGTTCGCGCCCCGTTATGCAACGGTCCCCCGGTCGAATTCGTGAAATGACACGCCCGGTGTTTTTCGCGTGCTCATTATAAACGAGTCTCTCTCAAGACCGCTTCATACATTAAAATACGCGCATTAAAATGTTAAAATTATGGATGGAATTCTATTCTCTGGACGCGAATTATAGAGCTTCTATAAAGCAGGCTTTAACACATCGAGCTCGTAATGCTCCGTAGATATCAGTATAGAGAAACCTACAGTAGAAATTCTTTCCTAGGAAAGATCTTCCCCAATGTCCGGCGATATTAACGAACAATATTTCGTAGATCATCAGGCGATACCGGCACGACAACGCGGACGGTTCCATCACGTGGGGCTTCGAGAACGACGACGGATCGTACAAGGAGGAGACGATCGGTGTGGATTGCATAACGAGCGGTAAATACGGGTACATCGATCCGGATGGTATCCGACGCGAGTACACGTACGAGATGGGAATCAGATGCGACGAGCAGCAGCGGGAGGAGGAGGAGGAGGGCTTCGTGGATTATCAGGAGAACAAGCTGGTGCTCCCGGACGGGAAGACCATCGATCTCTCGTCGATGGGCAAGAAGGCGCGCCGACCCCAGTTCCAGTACAGAAATTAAGGAAACTCGAGACTCGCATTTCGCACATTCGCCATCGCCCTTGTTGCACTTAACGCGTAAACTCATAACGTAAAATCATACGTTTCTTAAGATAAACTAGAGTTAAATAAATAAGTTAAAATATCGAGAGATTAGCGATACAAATAATACGTAATTCTATGTTATCCTACATAAGATTATTTAGTGTAAATTAGGCTTAATAAATAAAATAATAAACCAAGATTATTAATCGTCAGCCTAAAATAATCACAAAAACATTGATATAATTGTCCATAATATAGCTTGCGACGCGAAGAAACTCGCTTAATCCAAATCAATATTCATCATCAATATCGTTTATACAATATTCGTTACGACGATAGAAATGGACAGAATTAGTGAAGCAATTAAAAATCTTTTGCGAGAAACGACAGTACCTTATTCTTGTTGGAAATAAAAAAAATCCATTACAAAAATAATTCGTGATATTATTCGTGAGCTCTATTACGGATATCTCGACACAATCCATTTCGTCCCCCGACATTAAGGGGATCGGGAGCGAATTTTATATCCAGGAAATAACAGTCAATGATTCATTTCGTTACATTTATCGACGTTGAAACTTTATTTCGCCGATCATTATTATGTATAATAATATCCACGTCAGATTTCAAATTTCTCGTCAGATCTTTAACTAGACATTGATACAAGTGTATATCGTGTTGTGTATATATCGATGTTATTATATATCTGTATATAGAGATTCGAGCCTTGAATAAAGGTAACAAAACTAATAAATTATATACAGCTTACGCGAGTCGCAACAGAGAGAGTGTGTGTGTACGTGTATTACTCTTCGATATATATTGTAACAAATTATTCTCATTCGTATACGAGATGATCTCGTGAGTATCTCACCTTGCGAGATTACGCGTTCCCGAGTAATGCGATATGATGATCTGATATGATGACGAACGCGGCAGATGATCGTCGCGAGCCAAGTAACGCGTCTATTATTTGTGGGTGTATGTGTGTCTGTGTGTATGTGTATGTGTGTGTATATGTGATCACGCCTATATTATCTTATTGCGTCCCCCTGTACAATTCGCGCAGTCGCAGCTGCACTCTTGATCCCTCCGTGCGTTTAAGGGGCTTGCAAAGCGCAATATCGAACAATCTAAGAAAATCTATAAATGACAGTCTACGACGTCTACGTATACGACGATAAAGGGGAAAAAATTCTCAGCATCTTAATTTTTTGCATGCTCTGCTGTTGCTTGCAAACGACCGAACGGCTCCTCTTGAGCGATCGTTTCATGCACAGAAATAAATCCTCCATTAAGCTCCATTCATCTATCCATTCAATCGTTTCTCTCAAATTTAAATTCTTTCAAATTTAAATTCTCGGATGGAGATCGACGAGAAAAATCGGAAAATGTCTCGTTGGCAGAAACGTGAAGAACAATCGCTGAAGATAAAATTGAACCGGTCCGGTTGCGAACAAGAAGCCCAGAGGATTAAAATAGATCTAGCACTTGCAACGGCACTCGATGTCGCGCTAAAAATCGCGCCCGAGCATCGTCGTCTACCACCACTACGATGCTTAAGCGTCGCTTCCTCGGTTCCAACAATAATTTAAGATTACGGATTCAACAACGTTTACAGGACTTGTTACGCGTATATAGATATATACATGTACACATACATCATCGCATAAATAACAGTCGATCGAAAAAGCAAAGACGCGGCGAAACATTATTACAAAATATTAACAATCGTTGTTCGGCGGCGGGATAACGCGCCGCATGTCGCCCTCTTCCTCCACATGTTAGAATACAAGTTAATGCTACGGCGTAGTGTAGATTATTGCCTTGTTACAGAGTACAAAAAAAAAGGGAAAAATAGAGACGAAAAGGAAAGTCGTGTGTACGTGCGCGGGCGCGGACGAACGTGCGTACACACGCACGGGCACGTGCTACGCACGCGCTTCGTGCGTGCCGCGTTGACGTTCCGCGTGAGAGGAACGTGCGAGAGAAACGCGCCGGAATTACAAAAAGGACTGGCCCCGCACAAAGGTAACGATATGTGTCGATCGATCGATCGGCCCGATCGATGTCGACCGGTGTGGTCCATCCTGCCGTGGGCCCTCTTCTCCCCCTCCTCCCTCCAGAGTGTCTAATACGCCGGACTGGTGACGGCGGACACTTGTTTCGGCGTGTGCTGGCCCTGCGCCAACGCTCCGCTCTTCGCCGCTTTAAACTTCAGCCAAGCGTCGTAGCCGTACGCCACCATTGCGCAAAATCCGAAGAACTACACATAGATCTCAGTATTAAACAACAAAAAGTGTATCCGTTCGCCTACTACTACTTTGAGAATGATAAAAAAATGATTTAAATAGCAAAAAAATTTTTTTTATAAAGATTTGTATTTTTTTTAATATTCTTAATTTGTGCAATAATTTATATGTTTCTTTTCTACGAAAAAATTCGAATGTTTGTCGACATTTTTTTGACACTTGCGTTAACTAGAGCAGGATGTAAAAATGCAATTCAGAAGATATATATATATAAAAGAATTCTTACCGCAGCAACGCCGAAAGCCTCCGTGTAGCGCGCGTAATCGGCTGCGAGGGAAGCGGCCAGCAAGTAGAAAACGGTCCATATCGTGCAGAATATAAACTCCTGAAATTAAAATGCACTAGATTATAGCACTGCATAGACGGGCAGCTGTTTTCGAGCGAAGGCGTGGTTGAGTTCGTAAAACACGCAACCTGTCGACACGAGACAAGGCACGTCACGCTGCAAAGACGCGCCTACGTATGTAATGCCGTGTAACCCTGACGTTCTTAAAAGGTCAACCTGATTACGAACGATCTTTGGCCCAGCTTCGACTGCGACCGCCCTCATTATGTCGCTCGCGATCGATCGTTCACCCGTGAGCATAAAAGTCGGAGCTGACGGGTCGATTTTTTACATTCCTAAGCGCGTAGAAACTTTCTAGCCGGGGCTTTCACTCCCCCCTGCTCTTGTTACACGCGTGTACACGGCGATACTTATACCGGTGTTATCGAACACGACCTGTTCTCTATACACTGTCTACTTCCTCTTATTGGCGATTTATTTTAAGCGCGCGCCTTTGCGAGATAAAGGAGGCAGCCGATTAGCTCGGCGCGTTGCGAGAAAACGCGAGTGACTTACGATTTTAAGCCAGGGGATCCTAGCGAATTTCTCCACAATGTGGAACAGGTAGAGGACGAGCAGGATCCCCGTGAACCAGAAGCCGCCCATGGCCACGGTATTGAACCATCCTCCCCGGCTGTGGCTGCTGAATGTCGACACCGTTATGCATATAAATCCCAAGAGATTCAGTACCTGAAAGAGGAGACCCCGGGCGTGATTATCATTCATGAAAATTCTCCGTCGCGCAGCTGAGCAGGCACGCATTGTGCACAAATACAAAGCGCTACGCGGGGCTCTCCGGAGCCCGTCGTGAGAGAGATTTAAGAATCCATTATAGAGCCGAGTGACGCAACTGGCCTCATACCGGTCGGCCGTAATCTTAATTCACGGTAGACGTGCATTTTGTACACACAATGTAATACACTGCCGTTTACACGCTGCGTACATTTAACGCGCGCGGCCAAGCGCTTTTAATTTTCTATAGTTCTTGATAATCTCTCGACTAATTTAATATTTTCGTCTACACGAGCATCTAAATGTACTTAACAGAAAAGCTAAAATTTAAAGAATTTCACATCGCGTGATATAATATCTCTCACGTTGGACTTCAATAATTAACTTACGAGTCAGGATCTCTTATTAACGATACTGAGACCTGACCGAGCGGCTCACTTTCAAGCGACGATATTAGATCAAGCATTAAAAGCATTTCTCGCTTGACGAAATTACAGCGAAATTACACGGGCGAAGCGACGACGAGCGTGCACGTTTCGCGCAGAGAAACTCACCACTTGCACGATCTTCAGCATGCCAGGCAATGTCCTCGCATACGACGGATCGAACCGTATATTGGGCTGAGTCGTCGTGGTGGTGGTCGTCACGGTGGTCGTGGTGGTGTGCTGCCCCGGGAAACCTTGATCCATCGTCTCCGGTTACTTTAAAACTGTAACGCAACGATAACGACACCGTATAGTACACGCAACGCCAGGGTATAATCTCCGCACGGGCTCGGCGCGAGTCACCGCCGCCGCCACCTGATCCGATCCGATATACGCGTGCGAGTGCGACGGTGATTCTTCTTCGTAAGGGCGCGTCTCAAGTGGAACGGTCGACCGAGCATCGACCGAGCCGCGCGAATGCGAGGGGAATGAGGAAAAGATGGACCTTAAAATAAAGATTCGCCGGTGGCGTTTGTCAAACGCGCGCGCTCAGATCGCGGCAAAACGCGAAATGTCAAAACGTGTCGGAGGCGAATTCGCGATCGGCGAGTTTTTGAAGAGCGTTTTATCTCGTGCCTTCCCCCCCTCCCCCTGGAGATTTAATTTTCGGTAAATAAACCTCCACGAATAGACGTATCGATCTTTAATTAAAATTATTTGGCATCGGGAACTCGAGAGGAGTAAAGAGACCGCGCGAGAGTGAGTGGTATACATCTTTCAGAGTGGCCCACTCGAGATGCAAAATTATTTCTGCGAAGAGGCATCCGAGGGACGCGTTGCTTATGCAACTTCCACCGTCGGGGGATGCTGCTCCACGCGCGAATGTCGGAGAAAATAGCACACGCTCTGATATTTACTATCGTATCCAGCGCGTATTGATTGTGCCCAAACAACTTGCCGTCTGTTTATAATTAAACGAACTGCTCTGTATGACGCCGCGTATCTCGCTGCTATGCGTGCTACCTTCGTTATTTGCATCTAATCGATTCACGACTTCCTTTGCCGGGAACTATTACTCGTCCACTTCTGACAACGACAAATTGACACGGTCGGCTACTTCGCCGTGAAATCTTTTTTGCATTAATTAGATGTGCCGTCTACATCAAATGTTAAATTCTTATAAATAATATATATTAATTTATTATATGCGCGGCTATAGATTATTTTATACTGCACATACTCTTCATTATATATAATATTTTGCTAAATTTCTCAGAAGCCAAACTGATCGGTCATATTTGTATAAATTTCCTAATTTAATTTATGCAATATTTAAATTTGTTATCTTCTTTTTACATTTCTGGTTATAAAGTAGAATTTTTTAATTAAATTTTTACACGTTTTTTAATAACAATTTCAAAGCACATTTTACTTTATCTTTACATCTTATGTATTGATCCATTTACTTTTCGAAATGTTCGTCGCGCGATAATGCTATTATGTAATAAATTAATACATAAATCATATAGAAATCTGAAAGATTCAGCAGCACTACGTCAATCATCGATCGACTCGATGCCATACACACGAAGAAGGACACACGCATACTTCACCTGACACGTGATTCTTCCGCGCTTCCCGCAATTAACGCTCAATTAACGTCCTTCGTGAGATCACGCGCGGCGGGAGGGGGCAAGAGGGGGGGGGGGGACGCCCGCCAGTCGCGCCGGAGATATTGCATCCCGCGATCGACGCCGAGGGACGGGGAAAATGAAAACGCCATCGCGGATCGATTACGGGAGCTATCGTGCAGGCGTAAAAGGCGTAAACGCGTTTGCGTCGACGATAACGACGCGGATGACGGACGCGCGCGCGTCTGGTGACGGTCCACGAGAAGACACGCCGCTGAAATTATTTTCCGAAAATCGTTCCATCACGAAAGGATGTAACTAGACAAAGAGAGAGAGAGAGAAAGGATCACTCAAGATCTTTATTATTCCACTCGAGTGGCTTATATTGCTGAACGAAAAGGAACGGAACTCCTCGCGTGCAGCCTCATCCGCCGGAGAGCCTCATCTCGAAGAGATTCGGGATTCGGGTTAGAGACCGCCGCGGCGCGGCGTCTCGTTTATTGTGTCATTCGAGACGCGTGCCGCGGGAATTACTTAATCTCGCAGCGTGAGGTCATCCCGCCTCTGGAAATAGACGGTGACAGTTCGCGCGGCGAGCCGTGAGGCGCGCGAGGTGCGGCCGCGCACACGTGGTCGTTAAATCCTCCCACGACGCGGGTGGGGAAAAAAGATGGGGCGAGGACGCTTGTAAATTCATGCAACGCGGCAAAGCGCCGTGTGTTTTATCGAGCGCGTATAATACGCGCTCGTCCGTCATCCCCCGTTGATCCCTAAAAATCACCGCGGACTTATTGCACGCTACGCGTAATTACATAAATAAATTAACGTATCATTAATATCTTATCATATCATTATGATAAATAGACGACTTTTTAATAATTTGGTGTACACGCGGAATTTAATTCAAAGGACAAAATTTATTGAATACGTCGGGAATATTAAAGAGTTAAATTTGCAATTTATTATCCCTTAGCACGCAACGCGCAATTAAGTCATTTTATATCTTTCGCTTCTGGCATTGCATTATTGATGAGCCACATTCCATTTACGAATTCCATAATTCGTATTTCATCGATGATGAGTCCCGCTATATTGTTGTTCGTGCGTCACAGGCGTAACGCGAATTTCTTTTTGCCATTCATCGGGATAAAATTACAGTCGCGATTTATCAGCAATTTATCCAGCATGATGACGGAAACGGCGATCGATTCAACCGGCAGAATCGCCGCAGATTGCCTGCGGCGAAACTTCTAACTGTATAATTCGTTCTGCCTATACAGTTAATCCTCGGCGTAACCGGATTTTTTTGCTTGCGAAAAAAAAATTATTTCCAGTGAATGAAAAACTGTTTTGGAACATCGGTCTCCAGACTTAAAAAATTGAAGTTTTATTACATTTCCACGTATCGCACGGCGATACAGAGGTTTAATCGGCGATCAATCTAAGCGGCGTCTACGATGAGACTTAAGACTTAAGATTTAAGAAAATTGACCAGTCATAATCGATTATTCTTCTCACGTAAAATGAATAATCCACTATGATTGATCAATTTTCTTAAATCTCAAGTCTTAAGTCTCACTGTATAGACGCCGCTTTAAGCGGGGGGGCCTCGGTATCGAAGCATCCCAAGCGGGAATCGCGGCTCAGCGGGCCCCGGCTGTCTTGTGTCTCGCGGCTGCAGGGAGAGAGATATATATGTATCGGTAGGTGCCGCGGGGACGGAATGCACGCGTGAACGCACGCGTGTGGGTGGAGGACTAGTATATTATGTTGTCGCAACGAGATACCGGGATATCGAATCTAACGACGCGACCCACGCGGACGGGAGACGACGGGGGTTGGACGGACGCGACGCCATATCGGACGCCCCGAACTTCCAAAAAGATCTGCTCCGTTTCCACACAACGCTTGACTCGTATCGATCAGCCGAACTGTCAGAACTGTCCCGGGATTGTAATTGATTTAGGCGATTTAATTTGTCGGAATGACTTCTTACGACTTTAACAGCCAGAGCATTCATAATCCAATTTTATATTTAATATCGTTAATTTATCGTAATTTTATATTTATAACCGTCTCAAGTACTCGAGATGCTGTGGAGTTTTCGTTGGACCGGATAGTATCGTTGGGACTTGAAATAATTTAAAAAATTTAATATTAATAATAATTTTATATTGAAGTGCGAACGATATCATTATTATACAATACATGAAAATAAAAGTATTATAAAGAATTAAGGCAGAGACTTACAATTAGATCTATAACAAAGAATTATGAATGCCTGGGAGAGGTTTCTAACATCATCGACTGAATAATAGATAAGGTTATTTTGAAAATTAATCTAATATTTTCGCAAATAATATCTCGCGTTTATCTGGAGGCGGACTGTACGCGTCACGCCAGACTCACGCGTGCACGGGCGCGTAACGCAGAGTTTCCCCCAGGCTGCGATCGAAAACGGCAAAGTTGTAAACAAATGCGTAACGTCACGTTAGCGGCTTCTCCACTCGCGCGGCAAGCGAGACTCGCGCGGGGAGGGGAAGGGAGCCACGACCGCGTCCTCGTTCTCGGCGAATTCTCTCGCGGCACCAAAGTCGGCCGTGCGGAAAGCTGTCAACGCGCTAGTAATCTCGCTTCATTCATTACCGCTCGCGGCCGCGAGTCGCGAGGAGCTACGCCCCGCGCCGTTTCTCCCACGCTCGCGGGCCGAGATGAAAGCGGAGCGTAGACGACCGACCGTCTACGCGTTGAATTAGCGCGACTCTATCGACTCGGTACGTGCCGCGCCGCGCGTCGCCGCGCGTCCTCCCGCGGATCGACCCGCGGAGGGATCGTCGACGCTACGCGCCATCCGATCATCCGGAGCGCCGAGAACGGCGCGGCGGATCCGCGGCGATTTCGTCGCGTCACGGGGCGGATTCCCGCGGGCGCGCCGAGCGGCGCGAAGGCGACCGCGGAGCGGGCCGCGCCGAGCGGTGACTCTCGTGCAACGAACTTTTGTTTGTTACCTGTGTGTTCCACCTGTTACTGTTACTCCAACTCCGGCTCCTCTGTCCTTCCGCTCCGCCTGACTCGCTTAACTCCCCTTCGGCGAGTCGTCGCGACGACACTACACTTCCGCCTTCTTCTCCCCTTTCGGCCGAACACTCGATGCCAACGGAGAGCCGCAAACAACTCGGGGGCCCCGATCCACCGCGATCGTTCACTCGAATCTCCGCTCCGCGTCCCGGCGTGAGTCGCGGCGTTCCCCCCCTCCCCCCTCCTCCTTCTTCCTCCTTCGTTTGCTCCAGTCTCGGGATAACCGGCCGTGAAGTACGCGAAGACGAGACTCGCCGCGCGCTCGCGCCGAGTCTCGTGAGGGTGGGTTTTGCGAACGCGTTCGCAGGGAGATCGAAATGTGTTCCCCCCCCCCGAAAATGAGTCTCGGAACGCACGACGTCGCATTCACACCGCATGATTTCATCCTTTTGCGACGGAATCTATTTGTTCATTTTTCTTCCTTTTAATTAAATACGCCTACGTAATTATATACTTGTTTTTCTAAGTGCAAAAAAACTATGACGCAAATGCTAAGAAAAACTTTATGATTAAGATTATATAAATTATATTTGTTCGGATATAATTATTATTTAATTAGATAAAATTGTAAAATCACTTGGAATCCGATCTAAAATAATTTCAAACGTAAGATTGAAATGCGAATAACTCTTACCGTACATTTACTTTAAAATTACGGTACGATACGGGCGATTTGGTACCAGTTGCGAGCAGTTGCGAGTCTACATTTACTACGTCTATGAGCGCCATATGGGTAAACGTCATGGTCATGGTTAGTCCCGTTTGTTTCTCATAATCGAATTTCTTTTTACTTTTCATCTTCTTCGCGACATCCAATTGTACATCTCTCTCATTTTAAATGCAGGAAGTATCGTGTCAATAGTAGATCTACATCGTACACATAGAAGAACCTAAGTAGGCTAGGCAGGCACCTGGGTGCAAAGGACATCCATGGCACGCATAATGATACGGAGCAACGAGGTGGGGAGAGGGTCAACCAGTGGATGACGGAGCAGATTGCCTCGATTCTCCGTGGACAGCTGAGGAATTGAAGAGAGATTGGAAAGCAGTATCGGCCCCGCGAAACGCAGGTAGTGCACTTCTCTTCCTCGCCGAAGAGGTTAAGCCCAGTGCGATGATACTGGAGTGAAAGTCGACTGCCAAACAGTAAGAATCGAACTCTCGAGAGACGCGATGGCAACGGGCAAGCGACGCAGCATCCACACGTCGTCCGGAAACCCCGGCGCGTCCGGTTTTCCCGGCAGCGGGCTGCGGTCGAGCAGCCGGATGAACTTCCGGCCGAGCAACGCGCAGCAGGAGGACCGCGGCGGCACCCGACCGACCGCGGCGCCGAGCTCGATCGGCCTCGTCCTGGTCACGATGCTGCTGCACGTGTGCAAGAAGTCGCTGCTGTTCGACACCCGGCTCAAGGTGGCCCTCTACTGCGGCACGATATTCACGGTCTCCCTGATCGCGGACTTCGTCGCGATGCCGCGCACCTACTTCTCCAGATCCGACAACGTCCTGAATCAGTACTTCGTCAAGTGGGGCTGGGGCTGGCTGCTGTCCGTGATCGTGCCCTGGGTCGTCCTGACGGCGCACACCCTGGGCTGCGGCCGTCGGCCGATCCTGCTGAGGCACCTGACCCGCATCGTGTTCGCCACCGTCGCCTGGTTCGTCTGGACGAAGCTGTTCAATTACATCGAGACCAACTACGGCAGATGCCTGGGCACCCGCGACATGCAGATGCAGTCCAAGGCCAAGTGCCTGCAGTCGGGGAGATTCTGGAGCGGCCTCGATATATCCGGCCACACGTTCATCCTGATCTACTCGAGTCTAATCCTCGCCGAGGAGGGCTCCTCCCTCGTGGGGTGGGAGGGCATCAAGGATCTGGTAATGCGGGAGGAGCACACGCGGTCTGTGCCGACCGAGACCAGCACCGGTCCGTTGCGCAGTCTCTCCGACGGTGACTTGGAGTTCCTGAAGAAGGCGCACCGGGCTCTCACACCATATCTACGCGGCCTCTTCGTGGTGATGACGTTGCAGCAGCTGCTCTGGGACATCATGTTGGTGTCGACGATGCTCTACTATCACATCATGATCGAGAAGTTCCTGGGCGGCGTGGCCGCGGTCGTCACGTGGTACGTCACGTATCAGTGGTGGTACAAGCTGAATTCGGCTCCGCGGGCTCTTGCATCGCCGACGTCGCCGTCGTTCTGATCGGCATCCCCATAAACCTCGGCTGATTGGTGCCATTCAGCGTGCTGCGCCTCGCCCTGGCGCTGACCTCCGGATTCGTCTTCACCTCGTTGTATCTGAAGAGGCCGTCGCCGGGCGCTGGCAAGTGGTACGGGGTGCCACTTGCCAGCGCCCGGCGACGGCCTCTTCAGATACAACGAGGTGAAGACGAATCCGGAGGTCAGCGCCAGGGCGAGGCGCAGCACGCTGAATGGCACCAATCAGCCGAGGTTTATGGGGATGCCGATCAGAACGACGGCGACGTCGGCGATGCAAGAGCCCGCGGAGCCGAATTCGTCGCACAGACAAGCGGACCTCGACGTGTCCGCTACGAGGGGGTAAAAACATGTCGTCCTCGACGAAGCGTCGCTCACTCTCACATCTCGGGAACTCCTGTTCCCTTGTTGGATATTTGCAACGTTTGGTGATCGCGCAGCGTGGACCACAGGGACTGAGTATTTTGAGAATGTCCAGATAACGCTTATATAATGCCTTATTATGTTCCACGAAATTTCCAATTAAGAATCTTGACACTTAAAAACAATTATCATAACTCATCAATTGAATTGTATCGAGAAAATTTACGTAAAATGTACAGTATATATTTGAATAAGCATCTGGATATAGGGTCGATTTTTTTTCGAATGTAAGAATTATGTACATTTATATAAAATTTCGTTCGAAGGATATATGTAGATGCCTTCATTTGGCTCTCTACATGTACTTAAATAAAAGATTTCGACACACCCGCGCATGCATTGGGATATCATGGATTTAGTGCAATACAGCAGCAGCTAAGCTTGTCCAAATGGAGCAACCTCGTGCTTTTAATTTATATGCTTTTAAATTATTTCACATAGGATAATAAACAGGAGTGTGTGTGCCTGTTTTTTTGTTTCGGTTGTTGGATTGTTTTCAAGAGGAAAAGGAAAGACACATTTATTTAAAGTTTAAAATCGGTGTCTTCGATTCTGAGTTTTGTTTTGTAACTTACTATTTAATAAAGACTGTTGTTAACAAAGCGTCCGTTTTCCTTAAGTTAACAGGCTGTTTTACGACATGAAATTAACGTAGCGTTTATACGCTATGCTGTATTTATACACGGAAGGAAAGTACAAAATATATATATATATATATGGTATATATAGTTCTCATTATGAAATCTTTCTTCCTCGCGCGTAGTACAATCGTTGCATTTAAAGGAGTATTTCCCTCTTATTTTTAATTGTTTAATACCGCAGGTCACTAATCTTTACTGAACGTTTCTAATTCGATAATAACAAAAAAAAAGCCACGTTCTGAGTTGTATCATATAAGATGATAACATTTTGCTTTCCAAACGAAAAATTTTAGTGAAGATAAAAATTATTGTGATAACAAGACAAGTATATATATATAACTTGCAAAATTTGTTGTAATTAATTTTTTTTTTAATTACAGACTGAACTTGTCTGTTAATTAACGAAAAATGACAGTATCATGTATCTCTGATTACTGCTGGCTTTCGTATTAGCAAACTTCAACTTTACGAAAAATAATATCAATTTAGCAGCACTGCCTAAAATAATTGTAACAAAATGAGCTCTCTATCGCTGATTTTATACCTACGAGTTGCAGAATATTTCTCACATTTGGCAACATAGAGATCTTCGACAATCCACTCTACGGTGTTTAATACTTTGATGTTAGGAGTAAAAAATAAAGTAGAATAGACATTTGTACAGACACGACAATTTACATCGTTTAATATCACTTCCCCAACCTGCTTTCCGGTTTAGAAAAAAACCTTAACTCATCGTGTGATTGTAGAAACCTCTTACACGCATATATGCTAAACGGAATTCAATTAATCCACACTAGATATAATTAATTATGCATGTGCATTAAGATGCGAGATGTCGTCACAACGTTTTTCGGTATGCATAATGTATTTCTTATGTTTTACATTTTACATTTAAAAGTAATCCCGAGTGTTATTTTAAAACAAAATCACGGCGAGACTGTACAGTATCAATCATTACACGTTCAAGCGTTTCCTATCTAAGAAAAAGAGAAGTCTAGCGAAGAAATAAAGTGTAAATAATGGGATTCGACCCTGTATTGTAAAAATGAGAACATATCTTTGCTTATATGGACCATCACAATCTAACAGGCCTCACACTTTCGTTATTTCGTGATGGTGATGGCAGCTAATTATACAGTGTACTTAGATAACATTTAATACATACGTATTTATCCGCACTCGCGAACAGAGACTGAATACAGAGATAATTTCGCAGCTGTATATCGATATTGCGTAGATATTTCTATTTTTCAATTGTAAAAATGTTCAATTGAGATCAATATAAAATTGTTTGAGAGTTTCATAACATCGCAGTACGTACGCAATTTTAGTACCATATTATACTGGTATTACGTAATTATATTATTGACGTATTATAAAATCATATGGTATTTTTGATGAATTTTACAAACGTTACAAAAAAAAGATGCGAGAAAATTCGGAACTTCGTAATTAATTACAAGTATAGCATTATCTTTCAAAAATTGATAATCTACAGGGTGGATACTAAATAATGTAAAAAATTTCAAAGGATAATTCCTCATCCCAAATTCAAGACAAAAACTTCATGTAACCATATCGAAAACGACTTACAAGTACAGTGCCGAGCGCTATATACCCTTGCAAGAAGGTTGAAGGCGCTATAATCCACCAGCCGGTGGAATAAAAGGGGAAAAAAGGCTTACAAGTAAACCTACCTGACTGTAATTTTCCGATTTCTTTAAAAATTGACATAAATGTAGAACTATGAAAAATATTTTACTAATATTTTTCCCCATTTGCTCATATGCGGTTTTAACAATTTCAATTATTTAAGCTTCATCAAAATAACACGAGTAGTTTCTGAAATTTTTAGAAAAAAAAAAGCGAAATTTTTCCTTCAACTTTGACACTCTATCCTTGAAACTTAAGCCATTTCGAGCACGTAGTCATATAAAATTTTCGTCTTGAAATTTATGTGAGGAATGATCCCCTGAAATCTTTTACATTATTTACTATCCACCTTGTATAATTTCGGTAAGATATTTCTATCTAGATTCTTTCGTTTCATCGCAAAAACGCTTTTGAATGAGCTTCGATATTGAGGTGAAAAATCTAAATTGTATAATTTATCTATATGAATAACTGTATAATTTGACAATGCTAGTATTATCGAAAAGCTATCAATATATCGATATACATATGTCGGAATTTATACCATCAAGTTTCTTCGGTTCGTATATATGTATATGTATATTTGTTATACCGTTTTCAATCTCTGTTCACGAAGGGTGTAACGTTGTCATCAATCGGATTCGGATTTAAACCTTCGACCTTTTACGCGCAATCGCATCTTCCACGGCCTTCAGTTGCTTCAACAACTCCTCGCGCCGCGAATTCGCCTTCTTGGTGGCCTTGGCCACCGCCTTGTCGTCGATCAACGGCGGTGACTCGATACCCCGCTTTTTACCTGCGATAAGTGCACTACGGTCGATCTTCTTCACCGCCGTGGTGTTGCTCGTGGGCTTCAGCGTTAGCTTGATCTGCTGCTTCGCGCCGCTCAGCTTCAGAGCGTCGATGCCCTTGGAATCTTTGCGCGGCAACGGCGGCGTCGAACCCTTTCTTCTACGCGCCTCGCTCGAGGACGACGAGTAACTCGATTCGCTCGAGTCGCTGCTACTTCCGCTGCTCTCCGATCCGGAACTGCTGTGGGACGATCTGAAATGTATTTTTTTCTCTCTCTCCTTTCTCTCTATCTTTACGCAAAATTAATAAATACAAACCAAGAAATACTCTAGAAAATTAGATTAATCAAATGAGTTTATAAATACTAATAAATATTAATATTTAATTTTGTTATATCATAAAAATAACTTTTTCAAGCAGAATTAAACACGTGTCAGAATTAGTAAGAATCTCAAAAAAGAATTAGTAAGAATCTCAAGGAAAAAATATATAAATAAATAAATAAAATGGAGAATTCCTTGAAGTTACATCTCTTACACTCATATAGGATTTCATCTTAACTACTTGACTAATTTGAAAGTCATCTCTTTTTACCTAGAACGAGAACGACTTTTAATGATCTTAGCCACAGCAGCCGCAGCCAAAGCAGCCTTTTGCTCCCTGGCTTTTTCATGATGACGATGAGACGATAGTAGTGGACTTGGAGCAGGTGGATTCAGTCCGGCCCGTCGATGCAGCGTACCCGTCGTCGGGGAAATAGAGCCTTTGGGTGGACGGGGAGAGGGAGCGGGAGGATTCATTAGCATGGCACCACGCTGAGGCGTGGCCGCGGGAACGGGGGGATTGTTCGGGGGTGGTGAGGTGAGGACAGCGGATTTGCTTTTGCCAGCGGAGCGGGTTCTAGACGGAGGGGAGGGTGAACGAGACCTGGATAGGGAGTCGTAAGAACTGTAGCTAGAACGACTGGAGCTACGGCTAGAACTAAAAAGACGAGACTCTCCTATATGTTTCTATATATAACACAAAGTAGCACGAGAGAGACATTCGATTCGAAAATAAATGCACACAATTCTCTTTCGACTAACGTACTGTCTTCGTTTTCTCTCTTTCTTCATGCGAGAAGTATTATCGAATGTATACTCTCAAGTAAGTCAACTCCAGATCTTCCTGGGAATTTCTATATATAAAGCGAGACTCTTTTGTGAGATTCTAACGTGATCAAGTCGCAAGGCGAGTACGAGTAATACCTCGTTGACGAATACGAAGATCCGGAGGAGTAAGACTGCCGACGAGGCTGCCGGCGGGACGAGGTGTTGCGGCGTATAGCGCTCGGGGACTTTCGCCGCATCCACGGGTCCGCCCATTCGTCGCCTCTGCTCCTCTCGGCCGGGGGCGGCTCTTCCTCCCGCCAAGGTTTCGTCGGCGGGATACGCTCCACGATGACCTCCCGCGACGGCCGCTTGTGCTTCTTCTCGTACTTCTCGTAGTAGTCGCGTTCCCTCTCGCGCTCGCGATCCCGTTCCCTCTCGCGATCGCGGCTGTGCGGTGGCGGGGAGACCGAGTGCGCGCCGCGAGGAACCGCGTGATAGTCGAAACGTTCCCGATACTCGCGCGACTCTTTGTAGTGCACCCGCCTGTAAGATTAAAGTAACAAAAATGGGTTTGATTGCGAAGCATTGCGGCAGGATTGATTGAACATGTACAACAGAGAAATAATTTTCTTTTTAGAAACATGGCTCGGCCACGTACGATTGTTTCGTTGTCTCACCTGTAATAATCGGTTGACGCGGACGGAGGAGGAGGAGGAGGAGGAGGAGGATAATAACCTTCGGGCTCCTCAACGTATCTCTCAGGCGTAAGTCTAGTTGAAGACGATACCCTGCGCGGTGCTTCCCGTTGCGAAGGCCATCTCTCGACCGGCGGCTCGGGACTGGCCGCTCTCACATAGTAGCCCGCCTCCCTGTCAAGCTCGTCCTGTCCTAAACTCAAGTTCATTTTTTTCTCCTCGAAATCCATGTCCGACTCCTTGCGTTTATTGGCCTTGCGCATCATCTAGATCGATCGGGCGAGAAAGTGTCTCCTTTGAAACTCGATTTGTGTAAATTTTGTGGAAAAATCGATATATCATGCGAACGCGACGATGCATGAGGTCTGTTTTTTATAGTTGAACCGGCTACACTAGTTCAGAGTTTATCTTTCTTCTTCCAATGCAGAAAGAGAAAGATAAACTGTGAACTAGTGCAGCAGTTCAGCTATAAAAAAAACAGACCGATGGAGTGCCAAATGCACCTAGAATATCTCTCGCGCGCGACTTACTTCCTTGGCGTGGCGTAGACCGCGTTCCCAGGCAGACTCGGTCGGCGTCTCCTCCACCTTGGGTGCGTGTGCGGGAGCACCGTAGCCGGGCAACGACGATCGCATACTCGGTCTGTCGATGTGCGATCTATACTCGTGTGGCGCGGCAGCGTGCGGCGGGTACGCCATAGGCCTCACCATATCGAACATAGTGTAGTTACCTTTGTCCGTCACGCCTGGATGCAAAAATCTACAGCTAACGCCCCACGTACATTGACCTCGGCTATAGAAGCGGCACACCGGCCGCGGCTCGGTCTCCTCCGGCCGTGCGTCGTCTCCGTCGCTAAGCTCCCCTTCCTCCAACTCGGACTCCTCTTTCTCACCCTCCTCCCCTTCTTCCTTATCGTTTAGCTCACCAGATTCCTTCGACTTCGCTTTATCCTTGTCTTTATCTTTGTCTTTGCCATCCTTCTCCGTACTCTCTTTAGTCTCTTTCCCGGCAGGCGCCTCAGTTTCACCTGTAATTTTATCAGTTACAGTAAATGCAATTTTTTTTTTAGATACATCTCATTTGAAGAAACATTTATGGAATTATATTAATTACGCGGAGTTTTTTTTTAATTTACCCTGAAAATCAGGTTAATCGTGGGGCAACAGTATCTCGACAAATTTTATTGTGCACTACAATAAATTTGTTGTAATATGTATTTTTAAAAATTGTAAAAATCACATAAAATTCGTCGAAATACCATGTTGTCCTACGATTAACATGATTTTCAGAGTAAATTTTAAAATAAAATTCTCTCCATGTATTAATTGTATATCTTAAAATTATATATTATAGAATTATATTAATATATATATATATATATAATTAATATATTATATATATATTAATATAATTAATACACGGAAAATTTTATTTTAAAATTTATATATATACAATTTCAATAAAGATTTGAAATTCATAATGTATTAACTACCTTCATCACGTTCGTCTTTCCATTGACCGTCGGCTTCAAAGTCTAATTGCTCGCTTTCCTCTGTCAAGCCAACTGTTGCACTTTTGTCTTCCTTTTCCATATTTTCCTCGTCATTAACGATTTCCTGTTTGACATTCTGTTCTTGAGCCTTCTCTATTTCTGCGTTCTGTTCGGTGGATTCTTCAGCGCCGTCTATGCTCTCAAGGTCCGACACGTCCGACAAATCCTCGCCATGGGTCATCGGTGTGGGCTTAGACTTAGACACGGGCTCCGGCTCGTCCTCGATGTCGCCATCCGAGATTTGCTCGCCGTCCAACTCGTTGTACGACCCGTTCTTCTCCTCGTCGGGGGACCGAGGGCCCGAATGCGCCGGTGACGGTTTATCCGACTCCTGATCGTCCATAGGGGACGCCGGGCCGGATTTGAACGACTTCGGCGAGCTCCTGCCCGATATTAGGGACTTCACGGAACTCGGGCCTGATCTGGGCGACTTTGGTGAACTTTGCCTGGACTCGCTGTTCTTGAACGAGTACGATTTCAACGAGTTGTCGGCGGATCTCTGCATATCCGCTTCGAGGTCGGACGCCTTCGACTCGACGTCCTCGAAGCGCATAGACTTGGAGTCGTTCGAGGGCGAGAGGCACGAGCCGTTGTCCTGTACGGGCGATCGCGACATACTCCGGTCCGATCGGAGTGGTGAATCGAGGGAGTTGTTGCCCGAATGATAGGACTTCGGCGAGTCGTCGTCGTCGTCGTTCGGCTGATATGTCGGCGACGCCGGCGTCGGACGATATGCTGGCGAGACGGGTGACGGCGACAGGGGCGGTGGAGATTTCGACAAGCTGCGAATCGACCGCGGTGAGCCGCCCTCCTCGCTGGGGGACATTATCCCGGAGTGCTGCGACTTCGGCGACAACGGGGTGGAGCGCGGCGACTTGGACTCGCCGCCCGGGGACAACGGCGGCGACCGGGGTGACTTCCCGCCGGAGAAGATGGAACTCGCGGCGGACTTTCGCCGCTCCGATCCGGAGGAGTGATGCGAGTAGCGCGACGACGTCACCTCGTCCCCGGTCGACGTGAGCCGATTCCTGCCCTCGTCATAACCCTCTGACGAAGTACTGTCTGTACCAGAGTCGGACATGTCGAACTCTCTTTCGATTTCAGCCTGTAAAATCAATATGGCACTCGTTAGAGGGGTGGCGAACGATTTTAAACGGACGGGAACGGGAATGTTTTTTGATTTAGATTATTTAAAAAAATGTAACCCATTCCAATCTCTCTCTTTCACTCTCTTACTTGGTAAGTTAACTTTTTTTTTTCTTTTAGGCCGACCGAATGTAGCAACTGAGTAATCTGCATCAGTAGCATCACACAGCTTACCTGTGTCAATCAGAGCCTGTGAGGTATTCGCTCTTGATGGCACAACGCGCGCGATCCATATCGTGTCGAACATACTTTCTTTTGTATCACAAACTTTCGACTTTCTTTCTCTCTTTCTTTACTCGAGAAACTCTTTTTTTTTTATACTTTATTACTTAAACTGAACTTTTTGCTTGCGGATCACATGTGGGGATACATACTGTTTCTTTTTTTTTTTATATATATCTTTTCGAACGGACTTCTCTTGCGCGGAACTTTTTTACGGTGTCGTTTTAAACTTTTCAACTTGCAACACAACACAAACTAAGGAAGTACCGATATAAACCACGCGAACCGTTTTACTTTTTGTACTGCACTAGCGAAACTATAGCGAACGAACTTTTAACCTGAAAGAATATTTTTTGGGCCTATGGTGAAGAGAAAGAAAAAGGGGGAAGGGACCAGGGGGGGGAGGGAGGGAGGGACGAGCTGAACGACGAAAATATGAAGAAAGCTTTAATAATAATGGCACAGCTAAGTGACTTCACATTAATGATCGTTTTTTTTTGTTTTTTTTTTGGCAAAATGTAATTCGATTGACAATTCATCGTAACAATCGTAACACGTCAGTGCGAACTCACGTTGCCTTCTAAAAAGGCGACTACCTCGCGAATGAACAATATTAGACGTACCACACAAGGTTTCTCTTTTCGTCCAGAATTAAACTTTGCCATTGCGGTGATTCCGATGACGTTTATCAGGAGCGCTAATTCTTGCTAGTCTTAAAAAAAATATAAAAAAAAAATTCGTACTGTGCGCACGTGTTGTAAAACGTCAAGGGATCCGCAGTGTCGGTTGCAGTAGCAATGCTCGATTGACAGCGGGAGGGCAGCGGAGGAGTGACTTCCAGTTTTTCCAAAATTAAACAGATCTCACGTACATACAGCGTATGCAGGATTATCTCTCACCACCGTGTGTCTTATCTTCCTTTTCAAGCTTTATATCCGTTATTTTGTTTACAAGGAGATAAAAGGCATCTGCAGTCAAGTTGTGACGCCTGGAGGCCTCCTCCTCCTTCTTCTCCCAGGGAACACACACTCATCTCGCTTTGTCGCATGCCAGCGCGGATGCACGGCGTTTGCGTTATCTCTTCTCGCGAGGAGAGCGATAGAAGGTTAAGTAAGAAGACCACTGCAATCGAGACTGCGGAGGAACACGCGTGGGTGCGGGTGTACGTACGTACGAGCGGTGTCAGGGATGTGGCGATCGGTTTTGCGGGGAGGGGTGGAGAGCGGGGGAGGGGGGAGAGGGAGGAAGAGGGAAAATGGGGAGGATGGCGATAAACAAGGTCGGCGCCGTTATCGTTTCCGCGTCCTGCCCGCGGGTGAACGGGAACGTCGGCGGGAGCGTCTTACCTTTGGAGTACGCGCGGTACTGCGAGGCGGCGCGCCTCGCCGGAGACTCGAGACTCTTTTAACGAGGCTCCCAAGGCGGCCCGGCGTCACCCGCGATGCTGAAGTAACTTGAGGAAGTTACTCTCGGTCGCCAAGCGCGACGAGAGACGGGGACTCCGGCCGGACTCGCGTCCTCCACGACGGACGGCGCTCACACACACACGCGGAACGCTCTGGCACCCCCCGGGTCCGTCGTCGCGAGAGAAACACCGTCTCCGGGATCCCCTCGCTCTCTCTGGATCCCCGTCACGCTGATGAGCACTCCTCTGTGCCGTCAGGAGTGCCGTCACGAGGAGAACAAAGCACAAACGTTCGAGAGGGAGAGTGAGAGAGCCAAAGCCAAGGGAAATTGTGCACGTCCGTGTCCGTCCGTTTTCACGCGACCGTGGGTTTGATCGGGATCGCTAGATGAGCGTGCGCGCAGAGACGCGCTTGTCCACGAATGGACAGGTGTCCGAGAATCGACCAATCGGGTGCTCGGCGGTCGGATTCTCATTGGCGTACGCAAAGATCTGACGAGAGAGGCTGTGCGGTGGTTTTTGGCAATTTTATGGAAGTCACCGTGGCTGTTTAGAGTGTTTAGCAATTGCTAAAATGCCTGACATGTAAACAATTATCCAATAATATGCATTAATAAAAAGAAATATAATAATAAATTATAATACTCATTTTATGATCTATTATTAGATCAATGCTTTTTAGATATTTATATATTATACTAATAATTATTATATACATATACTTATATACATACATATAATATTTACAACTCGCGCAGGCAAATAGTTATAAATTTTATTTAAAACTGCATTTTTATCAAATACACCATTCGTGTTTGATTGTCCATAAAGATAATAACAGTAGAAAAAAAATTGTAATTTTGCAGCAATATATATATACGATATTATAGCATAATAAGTTTTGTAATTACTTATAAAGCATTTGTATAATAAAAAAATTATGATTTTTAATAATGCACTAATTTAAATAAATATATTTAATGGGACGGCACCCTGATATATACTGTGGCAGAGAGAAGCGTGAGAGAGGCCACGCTGGCTTTTTGGGTGAACCGACGATTCTCCTTAGAGTTCCTCAAGGAACTCTAATTCTCCTCCGTACACTAGCGCTCCACGTCCACGTTTTCAAAAAAGGAACTACGTACTACATCTATCTTATACCATTGTCGATCAAATCATAGCATTAGAACGTGGTTCGTGTCCGTGCTAATCGTGTATTATATATACATGCCACATCCTTCTTTCTTTTACTTTTTATTTCTCGCAAAACTTCATATTACATAAATTATAATTGAATTATAATTATAATAACTTCGTGAAAAAATAATCGTAAAACAATCTTCCTGAACTCATTTTAAAGGGCCAAGCCTCCTGATTTCCAGAATTGATTTTCCTCAATAATGATTTTACACTAAGAAATGAGGTATGGAAAAAAAAGAGGATTT